AAAAAAAAAAAGACATTTCCCTTCTTCATTATAATTTTTTTTATTGAAAGCAAAATGCTCGTAAATAGTTTAAAAAACACAGAACAGTACAAGCCGAAGCCAGCATCTCCAGTATCTATCCATCAAGTGTGTATATCTTACTAATATATGCTTTATTTTAAACTAGCTTTAAAAATCATTTTTTGTGCTTTTATTTTTAATTGCTGTTTATAAGGCAGTGTCTTAATTTTGAATTTTTTCCCTGAACTGCAGTTCCCTAAAGATCTTTTTTTTTTCCTCCCCTGAGTCATATTAGAATGGTATATCCCTCTGGGAAAAGGTGAATATTACCAATAGATTGTGTTGCTCTCGTTTCAGCTTTGATTTTTTGTCTTTGAGAACCTTGTCCTCCCTGCTGATTTGTTTCTAAACCAAGAGAAATGAAGAAAACAGTACTGTGACCTAAGAGACACCCTCATCTGGGGTTTGGTGGCAAGTCTGGGCTGGCAGAGGTGGGAGTGGGGATTGCTTCTGGGTTTGCACCTGCACTTTGGTGACATCATTCGCCTGTATTCCCTTTATTTATGCTGGTGGCTTTCAACCTTTCTTGCTCTGCATGTGTGTGGAGGGAGCATGTGAAAACTCCCTTTGGCTATGATCAAAGAGAGATGCCAGCTTGAACAGGCTGCTGACTATCCTCCCTGGGGCCTTGGCGCTGCAGTGTAGTTAGCCTTTGAGAATGGTGTGGACCTCTGTATTGTTCATCTCTGCAGACCTAGGAGAATGCTGCAGGTAGAGGTGCTTTTCTACTAGGCCCTCTTATTTTGGTGGGGAGATGTGCCCTACAAAAGGCATAGAAGATGGTGAAAAGCTGATGGGCTAAAGGCTTCTTTGAACACATAATTCTCTCGAAGGTGTCAGCAGCAAATCAAAACAGGAGGCTAAAAGTGTGCTGTGTTGCTTGCAAGTCTAACCTGTCTAGCATGACTTCTTCACATTTTCTGATGTTTCATATGACTAGAGACAAAGTCAGTGATTTCCATTCGGTTGTACTGAACATAAAACTGAACTTGGTATTTCTGGAAGTAAGGCCACTGTTCCCATTACAGATTTTGTTTTAGAAATAAGATTTGGAACAGTGTGATCTTGCATACAGTCGTACTCAATAAGGAACTTCTTGAAATAGGGCGAGTGTGTGGTTCATGCAAAAAAACATATAGGAGAGTTTAGGTATGCTCGGCAGTTTTTTTTAAAGGACTTTGATGAGCTAGGTCTCCCACAAATTGTTTTTGGTCTTTGTTGCCTCAAATAGAAAACACTGTCTTATATGTAGAAACTACTGTACTCTCTGACCATTTTAACTTAATCTGTTGGAGGGTAATTAGTAAAAATTCTCCTTCCTTATCATGTCATGAATTATTCAAATCTGAGATATTCAATGGTTTCAGTGGGTTCCTCTGAGTAAGTGAGGGTACTGTCTTGGATCACACTGCCATTGGAAGTTTTATTTAAACCTGTTGTAGTCAAGTTCTACCCTAGTTAGAGAGCCTACAGAGAGTTGTGTTTGTGAGCTAATCTCAGGGAAATACCAAGAATGTGGGAGGTGACAGAAATATGATGAATTCTGTGGTGTTGAGGCAGTAAGTCTACAGAAGGGACCATCCCAGTTGTTGTCTTATCTTCCACCTTGGTTCAAACAGCCCATGGCTTTATGTTGAAATTTTCATTATTGGCAGGTAGTCTACTTTACGGAGATGAGGAATGGATGTCTACTCCTCTTGGATCATTCTGTCTGCTGGTGCACCCATTGTTGTAAGACTTTCCTCCAACCCGAGGGATCTTCTGTCAGACTCCTTTAGCATTCCCTAGAACCTTGGTGGCTTCAGTCCCCTGTGTCTCCCACTTCCCCTTCTTTCTGTGTTTCCTGTTTGGCCTATCTACACCAGCTCCTTTCTTTCCACCTCAGGCACACTCTAATTTCCCCACTCCCATCTGTGCTGTTTGCTGTCTCTCCGTCTGCTCAACTTCTCCATTAAGTGTTGCTTCTCTTACCTTGCTATTCATTGTCTTCAGGACTTTCACAAACTCCCTATGGGCCCTGTCTTCCTACTGTGCTTTCCCAAAGTTTGCCAGTTATCAGACTACCAAATCCAATAGCTGCTTCTCAAAGCTGCTTTGACCTTGATGGACTGAGACACTATTGGCCATCCAAACGGAAATTCCCTTTTCTTGGTGTCTCTGACAAATGTCCTTTGCCTTTACCTTTGCTGGTGGGGAAGAGGCCCTCAAAGCCAGGCCTCTGTGTTTCTTTGACCATCTTCACAGAAATTCCCCCATTTTTCCCCCCTGAGTGAGTGACTTGGGAGGACTTATGTTGGACTAGTTCCCAAGGAACCCAGTCCTGCAGTGTGGATACTTCAGCTTGGTTGTGCTGATGTCACTGAACTGAATTTTTCTCTTCTACCCATTAAGCCACCTCTGTCAACTGCTCAATGTCTTCAATCACATGAACCCCAAATAGCAAACTTTTGGTGTTATTCTCTTGTCACAAAAGTCTTATCTGGTTCCTTTTTAAAAAGATCTTTAGTACAATATTTTTTCCATTTTCCTAGCTTCCTCTGTTGCATATGCCCATTCTCTCTGATTCTCTGTTAGATTTTTTTTGTCTTTTTAGAGCTACCTTCATAGGGTCTCTGTCCATCTTGGGATAAAGAGCAATTCTGGAAAGACTGATTTTTCTAAAATATTTTTCCTGGTTTGAAGCTTCAGTCTGTACCTCTCAAGGCTTAAAGAATGCCCTTAGAGACCTTTTGGGATTCAGGACTGTGCAGATTGACACTCTGCTGTCTTTCTCTGCATCCCACCTTGGCAGAGGCCCTCATCTGTCAGTGCCTCTGTGCCTTCGGTGTGGCTGTGCTCTCCTCTTCTGGCCTCTGTGGTGGTTCTTCGGTTAATTTGTTCTCTCTTCTCTTTCTCTTGCCTGTTTCTTCATGGCAGTTCAAGTTTACCCATGGAGCTTCCTAATGGCCCCAGCCCACAGATTGGCTCTTTCTCTTCCACTCTGCTCGCTGTCCCTTGTGCTACTCACTCATTTTGGAACTTCAGCAAAACATAACAGTTGGAATCTGATGTCTTTCTGGTCTCCCCAAGAAACTGAGCTCTTGAAGGACAGCCTGTCTTCCTAGCTGCCTAAGTGACATTCCTTAGGGCTTGTCAATTGCTTCTGGCAACCATGTTTTCTTTCTGTATGCCACCTGGATGTGACTTGAATGAGGGGTCCTCTAGCTCTTCCTGGCTACTACTTGCTGTGACATAATACATGTACAGGTTGAGTTTTGCTCTTAAAGAGGAGAGTAGGAAGGTGGGTTGGTATCAGGATCCAATAGGGTGGGAGCCAGTGGACATGTACCTGTTGTCACGGAGTCCCCAAGAGCTCAGTGTTTGAGCCTCTGAGAAGTAGTGTTTCTTGTGCCATAAGAGTACCATAGAATTTAAGTTTCCCTTGAGAAATTGCACTGATGAAAATACTGCACACCAAAAGAAAACTTACTTTCTGGTGTGTTTGGAGATATTTGAAGCAAGCTTTCCTAGAGATCGAATGGATGAGGGCAGGCTGGCTGAGATGGGCAACGTTCAGGAAGCTTTTGGGCCCAGAGTGCTAAGGCCTTCCCTTCCTGCACCTAGCTTTTGGATGAAGGGTGATTTCTATTAGGAGGAATCTGTGCTTCTGTTGTGGATGTTAATAGAGGAAGTTGCTAAAGTAAATAGAGCAATGGCTAAAGTCTTGAAGACAGTGAATCCTGCAGGAAATTCCTGAATAGAATTTTGAAAGAGTTCACTCTGGCCTCCAGGGGAGTTGAAGGCCAGTCTGTTTAGAAAGACCAAGATAATTTGGAAAGACCTGACAAAGAGCTGTATGGATTCAGAGTTTTTTTCCACAGTGGCTTTCAATGACATGTTTGGTCATAGAATACTAAAGCTGTAGAACTGTCATGCAGCAGTGATGGTTGTCGTCTCTAGACCTTGTTTGTACAGGGTACCCTGATAGGAGTGCTGGGCAGATGTCTAAACCACCGAGTACTGAGGAGACTGTGTGAGGCACCAGGCCCTATGCTTCTGCTAGGCCATTTTCTGAAGACTCTTGCTGGGAAGGTTAGGTTTAGCATGCCTTGCTCAACTGAGTGAGGATCCTGGGGAGAGGTTTTCAGGTTTAATTCAACTGTACATCCAGAGCCAGAGTGACTGTCAGCTCAGCTGGTTCCACAGTCAGATATGAATTTCTTAGATTTCCTTTGTAAAGGATTTGGGTCAGAGCTGTAGAGTATTTTAAACTGCCAATAAGCCAGCTCCCTAACACTCTGATATTCCTTTAATTAATAAGACACTGTTCAATAAATGACTGTTGAAATTGTTTCTCTTCTTTTTCATTTGCCCAATTACTATAAGGCCACAGTTTTGCAGTGTTTCACATCTTCAACTGTTTGTAAGTTAACTATAATTACTTAATGTTCTGTTTTTAAAGCTTCCTCTGGCTTAATGATAAGTATTTTTCAGTACATGTTGTTTCACTAAGCTTTTGTAAATGCTGTCACAATGCAGTTTTGTGTCATTGAACAAAAACCAAATTAAATTGCAGATATTAAGACAATGAAATCATTAAATTTATTAATATGAACATGGACTAAAATAAGACCTTGGTGTTTAACACAAGTCAACGGTGATTTCCATGAATTTGAGCCTTCATTCACTATCACATCCAATCTTCACAGATGTGGCAGTAAACTGCATATGCCATTCTGGGCTTTGTACACATTGTATAGCTTTCCATGTTCGGCCCCAAACTGAGTTTCCACCTCTGGACCCTGCTCCCCTGCCCCCAGCAGCTCATTTTGTACTCAGTGCAAAACCATTGTTTAGGGTATATTCTTACTGCCTCCTGGTGCTATCCTTGGCTATGCCCATACCTGGAATACCTCTTTAGCCTGCTTTAAACCAGTGAAGTCATCTTCTTGCTGGTCTGTGCTCTAATATCACTGATCCCAATATCCTCTCAGAGGATAAGGCTTGAAGCTGGGCTCAAGGTACTGAGCTCTTTGAGGGTGCCCTGGTGTTGGCACATGGAGAACCTGATTGCAAGGGAGACAGACCTACGCTTTACTATGAATACGCTCTTTTAACACATACCTTATTAACTAATAGGTCTTAGAGTCACCCCAATCTCCAGAATCACACTGAACCTGTCACAGGTATTTCCTGTCTTCTGAAGAGCCACTGGAACCCCTTGAACCTGTAGAACCATAACTATACCCATGCCCCAGGTTTTGACTAAAACCTCCTTGCTCACCCTCTTCCCTCAGTAGCGTAGACTTCTGCAGTGCAGCTCTGAGTGAATGACAAGAGAAGCGTCAGGGCAGACCTGGACCCACCTGCTTGAGATGACCAGCAATGTAAGGGGTTCCATCCCCCCAATGGTGGAATATTCAGTTTCATTGTGGAGAGACAAGAGGTACGGGTGAAGGGCGCAGAGCACTGCACTGGGACGTCTAGGCTAGGCAAATTAGCAGCCCAGACCAAGCCTTTCAGTAGTGATATCATGCCATAGAAGGTGGAAAGATCATCATGTGCCCCAGCCAGATGAACTTCTGTTTCAGAGCTAAGATTTATGCTAGGCATCTATTCAGAAATCAGAACTTTAAATTAGAGTGCTTTATGTGTACTTGGAACTACTGTAGAAACACATTATGGGTAAGTCAGAGGAGCTGCCCTAGCCACTGGCCAAATTCCTCTCACTCATCCCAGACTGAACTAATGATTCTTCTTCTGTGCCTGGATCGTTAAGGCAAGATCCTTAAGGTCTGAGTACAAGTTCCGCTTCAGGATAGCACTACTGCACAGCAAGGCCCCTTGCAGGGCCCCCATCAGTCCACAGGTGAAGATATCCTGGCCTGAAAGGGAAGAGCAGAGGCCCCTGAACATCCACCCACACCAGAAGAGGGGAGGGCCAAGGTCCCCAAGCTAGGGCCACCCAAAGTTGGTCCTGATCAGGACTGGGGCCACAGGCATCCACTGATGCCAGGAGAGAGGAGAGCCAGGGCCTCTGAGCTAGTGCTACCCAAAGCTGGTCCTGATCAGTATCGAAGCAACACAGCTCAGGATATGGGAGGCTGCAGGGAATAGCAGGGCCTTAGGACAGGAGCAGAGGACTTTGGATGACAGGAGCCCAGGATCTCAGGTCCTGGCAACATAGAACAGTGAGCATACCTGTCAGGTAGAGGTTGGGGATGGGGCTTTGGGCCCTCATGGAGGCTATCGCACAAGGATGCAAACGGCGAAGGTCATGGTCAGCCCCGTAGCAGGCCCCTCGGGGAGCTGCCAGATAGAACTGGTTGGTCAGTGGGGATCCTCCAGTCACATTCTCCACCTAAGGAGACAAGAGCCAGCAGGAATTCATGAGATCCTGTTTCTTCTCCCCTTTACCCCTCTTGGATGTTCTGACCACTAAGATGGGTGCTCTGCTCTTCCTTAGGGCCTTATTACCCTGTCCCTAAGGAAGAAGGAAATGGCACCATCTGTCATCACCCTGCATGTTTTACCCTGTACCTTCCCCTCCAGTTGCGGGAACAGTTTCATGACCACCAACATAGAGGCTTCCACAAAGGAGTCTTTGAGGGTCTCGTAGTCACTGCCCCGCTTTCCCTGCGGCTCTGCTTGCCACTCTTCAAACCATTCATAGGCGCTGGGCACCAACACGATCATCGTGGACCGGTCTGGGAATCAAAGCCATGTCAGTACTGCCTGGCACCTTCCTCTAACTACCTGTCCCCAATTCTGGGCTCTGCTATGCCCTGAGGCCCCACCTGGGAATCGGTCCTCCCAAGTCGGGTCCTTGGCGGATGGGGAAGCAATGAAGAGAAGGGGGATGTGTTCTGTAGCCTTTTCCCTGGGTGTAGAGACATAGTGCTCCATCCTGTGGGCAAGAGGAGTGTGGCTGTATGTCACCAGACCTCTGTCCTCAAAGCCATATGCATCGGCCCAAGGACAGTTTGTCCCCAGGGACTCTCCACGTGGGGAAGAAGGTGAGGCACAGCCTTGGTATGCCAAACTCCTGGAGCAAATTGGAAATTGCCCATTTCCTCCCATTCCTTATCTTCTGTTCAAAGCACAGGCCGTGCATGCATGCACACAGCGCCAGCAAAGGGACATAACGTACACACATGAACCCAGACATGCACACGCCTTACGCTTTGTCCAAATCCGTGTCATAGTAAACGTAGTAGTTGGTAGACGACAGACCTAGGTCCTCCTTGGTGCCTTGTAGACAGATGAAAACAGAGAACATGCCCAAACCAGGCCGTACCATCTTCAGCTGCTGCTGCACACCTGCCAGAGGGAATTGCCAAGGACTGCAGAGACTGTGGCCAGGATGGCCACTGCCTGCTCCCAGAGAGCCTCTTGATGCCCACTTATTTCAAAAGGTAGGGTCTAGGCCACAGCTGTTTCAACATGAACTTGACAAGGCCCCTGCTCTGCCTGTTCTGTCTCCTGTCTGGGAAGGACTCAGCTTCAGACTCCTCTTGGCTGCTAACTGGCCCCAGTCTCCCCCCTAGCATCGTGAAGTTAGGAGTGCAAGACGGGGCTTCCACCAATACAGACTACACAAGTTAACAGCAATGTGTTCTAAGTGTCAATTTAGTATGAACTGTAATACAAGCCATTGAGTTCCTTGTGTACTTATGTACTGTTCTGTCAGAACAAGGCCTCCTGGTGGCAAGCCATGCAGATGAGCAGAGGCAAATGGCCTCAGTGGCTTCTGGCATCTGAGGACTCAGCTGGAGGGAGGAGGAGGGAACAGCACCGTGGTGGACCATCTAATGTCCCCCAGACCTGAGTAGCTGGGCTTCCCCACCTCAGCAGATGACCCCAGACTAGTGTTCTGGAAACTACACCAGAAATTCTTGTGCTCTGTTCCCATTCCCAGGACTATACTTAAGGGATGACTGGGCTGCTGGGTGCTCTGCTCCATTCATACCAGGATCAGTTGAAGACACCTCAGCCTGTACTCAGGGGCAGTGAAAATGTCACCTGACTGTGAGGGAAGGATTCCAGCATGGCTGCCTAGAGAGGACACAGTCCTGGATGGGATCCTGGGGCCAGTTAGGGACACATTAGAGCCCAGGGGTCCTGGCAAAGAAGAAGGGTCATAGAGATGGAGGCAGGAAGCAGCAGAGGCAGTGTGTCCACCCACACCCAGTCACCTGCCCCAGCCCTGCTGTTCTCTGCCTCACCTCACTCAGCTCTCCTGTTCTGAGAGAGGGGAGGTCTGAGTGGGCAGGAAGCAGGGGACACAGAGGAAGAAGAGGCTGGTGTTGTACCCACTGTATGGCCTAGAGACAGTCACAAATCCCACCCCACCCAGTGCCACTGAGGAAATCTAGCCCTCACTTTCCCACCTGACGCACTCTGCCACCCCCTCCCTTGGGTCCTCAGTCAGGAGCCCCCAGGCCCACACTCTGAGGTGTAGCGCTCCTTCCCCGATGCTCTTTGGCTTCTCACCAAAGGCCCATCCCCATCTGAGCTGCTTTATGCCCTCCACCTCCAGCCCTAGCCAAAGGCCTTTGTCTGGACCACTCTGTCTCACCCCTCCTAGGTTATCATTTCCCTTCTGGCCAGCTGGCTTCCTTTCCTCAGTCAACACCAGCAGCATCTAATTACACACATCCTGAAGTAACTTCTTACCTAATGTCAACCCAGCCATTGGGTTCCCTGTGAGGTAACCTGCTCTCTTGCCTCTTCTGAGACCTTTTTTCTGCCAGCTCCATATTCTTAGCCCAGATGGCTGCAAAGAGCCTGGGCTCTCCAAACAGACCAGGTTTCTCCTCTCAGCAGTGCCACAGTCAGCTGGGTACCCTCTATACGTTAATTCCCCTATTGGCTTCAGGTTCCCCAAGCAGAAACTCTAGGGTGAGAATGCTGTTAGAGACCAATGTTGTCACCTCTGCTTAAGGACAGTCAGAAGGGCAGCCAAGAAGCAGAGCAAATTTGCTCCAGGTGGGGAATTGTTGCAGAAATTGCAAAAGGAAAGACAGATCAATCTCTACCTGGCAGACAGCGGGCTTTCTCCGGCAATAAGTGCTCATAGGTGTTGAACAGTCCTGCATTTGAGACCACGATAGGGCAGTAGATATTTACCAGCTCATGGCCCTTCTTCACACTGACACCTGCAGGCACAAGAGCTTGGTTGAGGAAGGCCCGTATCCACAGATCTCTCTAGCCTAACACACCTGGGTGTCCAAGACACCCAAGACCAAGTAGGGCAGGCCCCAGGCAAATTGCAAAGGGAGCCATTCTCAAGCATGCTCAGCCCATCCTGCAGTCACTTCTGAGCTTACCTTTAGTAGCTCCTTCCACATATCCCTGTGTGTGCAGACTCTGCATTTAGCCAAAGCCCCAGACAAAGCTCTCAGGCTGATGTCCTGCTGGTGGAATCCAGGGCCTTCTTCACTCTCCCAGAGTTGTTTCCAAAACACTTGCAAAACCCTCCAATGATGCCTGAACCTCTGTAGCACAACCTCTAAAGCAGCAGTTCTCAACCTGTGGGTCATGACCCACAGGAACTGTATTAAAGGGCCACGGCATTAGGAAGGTTGAAAACATTGCTCTAAAGTCTTGTAGCAGGCTCAGCACCCGTACCTCAGTGGTTAGGGCACCAGCCACATACACCGGGCTGGCAGGTTCAAACCCAGCCTGGGCCTCCTAAATAACCATGACAACTACAACCACCAAA